ACCAGATTATGCATGTCTTGGTCAGCGGTTTGTGGGACTGTACATGGGGCTTAGTCATACAGGCTGGCATGTGCTCGATGCCCTTCCAGGTTTAGAAAGGAGCCATGAATGGGAAGAGGAGGGAGATGGACCATCTATCCCTGTACTGCCACATGCAAGCTTGAAACTTGAAGTCTGAATTCTTAATGCAAATCTGAACTTCTCTACTTCCTTAGTGATACCACCTCAGAAACCCAAGGAGGGGTCTCTACGGACTCGATGGCAGTGTTTGGTTTTAGTTTGGTTAGGGCTTCATACAGGATAAATATATTTTATTTATTGTATATCAATTGTTAACTTGATATACAACTTTAAATGTTTGGATGCATGGTACATAGGCCTCCATTTGTACTCTTTCCTCAGGCCCCAGAAGTGTTAGGGTGGGCCCAGTTGCACACATTCCCTAAAGAAATTACAAGCAGCAGTATCATGATATTGATACTTAAGATTTTCAAGGTATTCAGTGCCAAATTTCAGAGAACTGGTTGAAGTTTCAGAAGAGTAAATCATGAATATAAGATTATAAGTATTTATCTGAAAAACTTTATAGAATGTGTTTGCCATTTAAGTATCAGTTATTTTCTATTTTAAAATTTCTTATGTGAATACATTTATGCCATACTTCCTAAAACAGACTTGAAAAATCTATACATCAGGAAACTTCATAAAAGATTTTCTGAAACATGAACCACTCCTTAGAATGGCAGTCTAAAAGAAAAAAGTTTGGCCCAACTATGGTTTAATGACAACGTCTGACATAATCCTTAATAGTTGATTCAAAATGTTGCTGTCTGTCAAACATCAGAAAATTAATTCATACATTCATTCATTCACTCATTCAATAAATAACAACTGATCCCCTACTATGTGTCAGGCACTCCACCAGCTTCTGGGCATTCAGTGAGTGACAGGCTAAATGTAGCAATTAGAAATAGCAATATAAACAGTCAAGTTATTTTAAAGGCTTGCATTCAGACAAGCAAAATAGTTTTTATGAGAATGTTCCCAACTTTATTATACTAATTCATTTAAAAACGAACAAGTGTTATGAAGAACAGTCAAGTCAGGCAAGAAGAGAGAGAATGAGATCAGGAAAGTCAAAGAAGGACAAGAGAGGGACAAAAACTTAGATGAGAGAGAGAAGCAGATGTGTACAGAACTGGAGCAGAAGGGAGGCAGATCACATAGGGCCCAAAAGTCATGGCAAAGAGTTTGGGTTTTATTTCAAATGTGATGGGAAGCTTAGAGAGTTTTAAGTTAGGAAGTGATATAATCTGATTGATATTTTCCAAGCGTTACTTTGGCAGGCCTAAGAAAAATTGGCCATAATGGTACAAGATATGACAGACAAAGGCCAGTTTGGAAGCCACAGCAATAGTCTAAAAGATAATGGTAGCCGTTAGGTGACAGCAGGCAAGATAGTAATAAATGATATGATTTGAGACATGTTGAAGACAGAGCTGAAAGGACTTGCAGATGGACTGGATGCAGGCTGATGATGCCTAGGTTTTTGGCTTGAGCATCTGGGCAAATTGTGGCACCATTAAATGAACTGCAAGAAAATAAAATAGGGGTGTAACAAGCTTGATAAGAAAAATCAAGCGTTCAGTTTTGCACATGTTAAGTCTGAGATACCCCTTAGATATCCAAGAAGAGATACTGAGTGGACAAGTACATAGATAAACAAGGTTGAGGTCAGGGGAAATATCAAGACTGGGGATAAAATATGCAAGGTATAGGGGTAGAGATGGTATATAAAGCAATAGGAACCAATGACGTCTCAAGGGGATCACTTCTGTTATAAGTGCAGACAGAAAAGGGAAAAGGAATGAGCATTGAGCTCCAGAACCCTCCACTCTAAAGGCTGGGAAGAGGAAGAAGAGTCAGTAAAGGAGACTAAGTATATTTCTGGCATGGTGTGAAGAAACCCAGAATATGATGTCTTGTATTAAAATAACTGATATTCACAACACAGTAAGGCAGATATTATTGACCCCATTTTACTGAGGAGATAACAAAAGCTCAGGGAGTTTAGGTAAGTTGCTAAGAAAAGAAAATGTTTTGATAAAGGGAAATTTAATAAAATGATCAACTGTGTCAAAAGCTGTTGAAAGACTGAGTAAGAATATTAATTTACCATACAAAGGAATCTCTTACAGAAATATTAGTCTAAAGGTTAGGGGCTTTATAGTTACTTGTATGAGAAAATAGGTTTATACAAGAGCATTATTTCAAATATTGATGGAATGGATTTATTGTAAAATTCAATCTGTAATCTGAAAATTGTGTCACAATTAGATAACATTGGTTTTTATGGTACTGGAGGGTTATCAGATAGATAAAATTAGTCCAAATCCCAACCAATAGCCTCCTTGCAAGGCTATTTGCAAGTGAGAGAGATGATTCTCCCAAACCTGAAGAACCATGGCATCTTCTATGTGAGCTGTGGTGAGGCAAAATGTGAAAACAGCAAGATCCCATTCTCTCCTAACAGGGCTAAGTTCTTTTGTAAAAATGCCCTACCAGTGGTAAGTTTGTATCATTATTAAAACCAAAATTTTATACGGAGGTAAGTGCCTCTATGTTCTTCTTTCAACTTGGGAACTAAGTTCATTTCTTAGCCTCTCTGCAGACATTTGGTCCCACCAACTGTTACTTGTAGGTAGAGTATGTGCTCCTTGAATGAGAAACCATTTGCCATTGAGCTGCCATTGAATCGATTCTGACTGAAGGCGCCTCCATGTGTATGAGAATAGAACTGTGCTCCACAGGACTTTCAATGGCTAATTTTTTGAAAGCAGATCACCAGGCCTTTTTCCAAAGCACTTCTGGGTGGACTTGAACCTCCAACCTCGTGGTTAGCAGCCAAGTATGTGAACAATTTTTACCACCCTTGAATGATATACATCCTTTACAACCAATGCTGACTTTCCCTTATCACACAAGAGGCTCTAGTGAATTATGCCAATTTAGTCAGTGTATATTCAAAGAATATTTTCAGGGACTGTAACTCAATAGTAAAAAAACCCACTGCCATCAAGTCGATTCCAACTCATAGCAACCCCCAGTAGGTTTCTGAGGCAGTAAATCTTTACAAAAGTAAAATGCCTTGTCTTCCTTCCACGGACCGGCTGGTCACTTTGAACTGCCAACCTTCTGGTTAGCAGTTAAATAACTTAGGCAATGTGCCACCAGAGTAGTCTGAATAAAACACACACACACACACACACACACGCACACACACAGAGTAACATGCAAAAAAATACTTTACAATCCATTCAAATGGAATCTGTATTAAATTATCCACTAATCAGAGCCCCTCCAATCATGTCAATAATCCATAGGTCTACTACAGAGGTGACTGGATTACTTAATGAGCACCTCAAATAGTGACTGATCAACACATAGTTGTTGTTGTTGTAGGCACTCAATAAACGGTTGAGTTACTTTAAAGTAAAGACATACTTTTGGAAATCTTAAATAAACTCTACTATTTGGGATTAAAATTTTTATTGCTACTTATCAAAGATTTGGTCAGTATCAAAGAAGGAAAACAGTCTCAATGCATAATGACTGAGTTTATCAGTTTTAAAAATCCTTTAGTAATTTAAACTTATCCAATTTGATTTTCTTGCCATTGCTTTCTTTATGCTATCAAAAATGATGCTTTCTTTACTATTTCAAACTCATCATAAAATTGCTAAAAATCTAAAATTCAATTTGCCACATTACTGCTAATTTGAATAATGGCCGAATAAAGCACAGGAAACGCTGAAGCAGCATTGATTTCTAAAACATTTTGCACTTTCCTCCTCCATCCCTGTAAAGTAAAGCTCGGATGCTACGCACAATTACACAAGAAAATCAAGAAAGCCATTACATTCAGCATTTTGTCATGATCATTGTTACCATGGCAAAAAGTGGGCTTAGTTTAGCACAGCTGCTACGAGTGAGGTCTGCTGGCCTTTTGTAAAGCTGAGTAATAATATAATGCCAAATTCTGTAGTCTGCCACTGTTTTTTTCCAGGACAAGGCTATTGTCCACAGATGCTACTGTCTCATTCCTTTAATGATCTGAGCCAATGTCATCTTATTATTTTATTCTTACTCCTAGCTAGTGACTGAGGGACACAGTTAATCTAAGAATGTTACCACTTGACCAGTTTCTCTTCTGAAGGGAATAATGTGTGGTGTGAAAATCTGGGATTGCAATAACAGAAAAAGCCAAAGTTTTGACAATTGTATTATAAATAACAATAGTGTTGTACTGGAAGTGGCAAGGTTTGGGAATGAGAGACAAATGCAACGACACATGATAACTAGCTATATGGCATATTATTTTCTCTTTGAGCATCAGCTTAGTTATCTGTAAAATGGGGATAAAAGTAACCTCCTTACCAGTGTGAGGATTACCAATTTGCAATACAAGCAATCATGGGCACCCAATGTCATTAGCATCTCTCCACCTCCAATACTACCCTTTCCTGCTTGCTTCAGTTTCCAAGCTTTTGAGAATGTTCATAGAAATTGGTAGGTATATTTTTTTTTTCTCCTTTTGGAAGGTAAATGATTTTCATCTCTCATAGTGTTATGCTACTTTCCTCAGGAGAGAGTATTTCTTTAAATTCCAACAGTAAGCATACATTTCATATCAAAAGGATAAAAACTTCAGCGTCCATGTCATAATGTATATCACATTTTATTATCCATATTTCAAGTGACTCCATTAAGATCTAGTATATACTAATTTTGACTTTATGCACAGATTTTTAGTTTTAAAAAATGAAGCAATATTATTAAAGCAGAGAAGTTTAAAGCTCTGAAATGAATACATAAATCAAAGCTCTATATTTACTAGAAACAAAAGCTACTAGCATTTTTACCAGCTAAACAAAATATTTTTTCTAATGAGATTTCAGCTGCGTATCGTTTATCTTAAGAGAAAAATAATGGGACCTTACCTATTCCAGTAGCTCCAGAACTGGTCATGCAGGTAGGCGTGGTGGCTACATTCATCACCAAATGAGGCTTTGCTTTCAATCCAGTGAATTATGTGCCCTTCTACAGCTAAGGGACAAAGCATTACTAATATACAGTGAAGGGGAGAGAAGATTGAAAATTCTGAACTCTACACAGGCCTCTATGCTTCCCATTAATGAGCAGAGGCTTAGCCATAGCCATCGTCTAACAGATGCAATTACAAAACAATGCCTTGTATATATATGTTCATTACAAGGAACATTTATGCTACAATCATATCCCTCTTATTTCATTATCTTTTGCTTCAAAAGTCCTTTCCTAGTTCTGACACTGCCTGTGTAATTTGACAAGTGATGTGTCAAGTAGACCAAAGTAAGCCTGGCTTCTCAACACAACCATGTTATATAAATTCAATATTTAGAGAAATGACTTGAAAATGGCAACCAAAATGTCTTCGGGAGACATTTCCATTTCTCAAACATATATAGGAGTTTTAAGGCAGAGATTTCTTCTGGATCCATTAGTTCCTTCTTTTAGAAATAATCTTTTCCAACTATTTTACCTGTTTAAGTGTAATATTACAAAGCAAATATACTCTAGTCATATGTGTTGATATTAACATATTAAGAAAAAATAGAAAATGTATAGAAAAATATATCCCTTTTCTCCATAAACAAATATATAATTGAGTTTCAGGACTTACCAACTGGTACTTGTAAAATGAAGTCTGGTGTTTTGTCATAACCCTTTGCTCGGAGCTGATCTTCATCTAGAGGAAGAACAAATACTATTACTTATAACAGTATTCCATTAACAAGACAGCAACATAATTGCTTTTCTTTCTTAAAAATGTGTAAAAATTACTAATGCACTCATACATATCTTTCTTATGTATGCATATACATCTTTCTTATGTATGTCAGACTAAATGAACTTTCTTAACTAACCTGAAGCATACATATAAAAATGCTTCTTTGTCCCTTCTGTTTTTATGTCTTTATTATAAACATCATTAATTCAGGCTGTCATATGCTACCTTATTTTTTTGTAATTGAAAATGCTCAAAATAAAGTATTACACTTACTGATAGAAAGAAAAGGCTTTCTCCACTAGGACTATCTCTAATGCTATCAGCCAATATTGGCAATCTACAGTAAGGCACAAGCACACTGGCCTATAAGATTATGAAATAAATGGTTTCATTAAAGCTATTAAGAAAGTTTAGTTTCAATTAGTGAAAATCTGCTTAGATCCAAGAAAGGGAAAAGGACAATGAAATCACCACAGAGAATTAATTACCCTGCTTAATTCCTTTGGTATGCTATTGTTTCTGGCATTTGTCTGTTTTACAACTAACAATATGTAATTCTGAAAAGCAAACAGGCTTTGAGACTTTTTTCTAAGTCTGTTGGATTTCTTGATCCTCTGTAAATATCAATGATCCATTCAGAAGGAAAGGAAGCAGGAAAACATAGGAAGCTTGACTAAGTTGTAAAACAAAACAAAACAAAACAAAAAACTAGCCAGGTGCTTGCTTAAAAAAAAAAAAAACTCCAATATTTTCTAAATGCTGTCCTTGACTTCTAATAGCATTACAATGTGATTTCTGAAATGGAGAGTTCTCCATTAGATTTTGGAGTGACCTGGTCATTCAATTCCAGACATGGCTTTCTGTCTTCACCCAACCTCAACTAATGGCCCAACCAAGTAACAAGGAAGGCTGTGTAGTCTCTTAACACCTACTGGGCTGTTGACATTGTCATGCATCCCATTCGCCTTCCTGCATCACCTTTGATTAAAATTAATGGCCCATTCCCAGTGTTGGGTAGCTTATTTCCAATCCATTTGTCAGCTCAAGACAGTGGTTTCATGGCCAATGTTCAGAAACTCTGTTTTAGAACACTCTTGTGTACATTTTGAAAGATCAGCATTTTAGGTGTAAATAACCTTTTAATGACAAATCACATATTTAAACTAGATATTTAAGTTAAATGCTGTTAAAAGTTGATATTCTTAAACTATCATAAATTTGAAGGATGCCAAAATTCAGAACACTGTTCTTTCCTAGGAATATAAAAAATTTAAGTTAACTGTTGAGATAATGAAATAGAAATCAATCTTACTTAGAAACAAGAGAATTTCAAAAACTGGACTGCAGGCAAATAAGACTGGAAAAATTTCTATCCTCAAACTGAATTCTGACCACAACAAGAATGTTTAATGGAAAATAAACATTTAAATCAACTTGAGCTTATGTTTCAGGTAGCCAATGATGTGGAGAATTCCACCAAACTTGAAGAAATAGATAAACCAAGGTTAGTTAAAATAGTACAAATCAAAGAAAAAAGAGTAAAACTTCCTATGAACATTAAGAAAAAGGATGAACTCCTTTCCTTTGCAATGAAGATAAACCTCAACTTTGAAAAGTTGGGTTGACATTAAAAAACACAGAATAATATTTTATTAAAATGATCCTAGCTAGATCAACCTTTGCAGATGTTAAAATCTGTTTCAGAAAGAAAAATTATGTTTCTGACAGGAGCTCGAAATAAAATTTCAAAGGTCACCAAGCAATCCAAATGCACACACTAAAATTTTTTAAAAGGCAGACACAGTGCTCCTGTCACTGCACCAAAATTACCAACACAATACCTACAGTTGGAATTACATGACTTACTTAATGTGAGGAATAATAATAATAACCCCTCAAAACTTGAACATACAGTAGATGTATGTTCCACCTTTCTAGCTTTCTATGGAAAACTTCAATGTCTGGCCAACAGACATACACCCATTCACACACCCCCTCCCCAGTATGAAGTTGATCTAAATGTAATCGCACCCAAAGCATAGCTTCTAAAAGTCTGTGCCACCACCAGAGATATCAGTTGTTTTAAATTTTTTATAGAGTGGAAAGACCATGTATTTGATATCTTCTCTTTTCTTTAATGTATTCTCTGAACTCTCATTGCCTTTCTTCCCTCTGTTTCAACCTTCACAGTGTTTCTTTCATCTTAGAATTTCTAAGAAAAGAGGGGAAAAAAAAAAAAAAACGCGACCCCTCCTTGGGTTTCTGAGGCAGTATCACTACGGAAGTAGATTGCCCAATCTTCCTTCCGAGGAGTGGCTGGTGGGTTTGAACCGCCAGCCTTCTAGTTATCAGTCAAGTGCCTTAGGTACTACAGCACCAGAGCACCTAAAAAAGAAGGAGGGAGCGTAATTCGGCAAAGTTTGGAGGAAATGAGAAACAAGTATAAGGAGCCGCACACGTGAATAGATGGATGGTCCTGCTCACCTGGTCTTGGCCCCAGGAAAAGTTTCTATTACTGATGACTAGGAAATTTTTATGGTCAGTCTCAACTATTGGCCTGATTTCTTGGCCTTTGTGTTATGTTCCTCTCTTGTCTCCCACACTTTGAAAGATTTCTCACCATTAAGTCATTATTCAAAGCATTAGATACAGATTTAAAATTTGGTTTATATATTAGGGTTCCAATTCTGGGATCATGAGGTCTACAAACCTCAGTCATCAGCCCACACTACTTTCTTTCTGCTTCCTACTTTGTTCTAAGGATAGAATATGTTTCATTCTTATTTTTAAATTTTTCACCCTAACCACTGTCCCGCTCTTCCCATTAACATTATCCTTTGTAGTCCTCAACAAAGAAAACTGAATAAAATACAAGTGCATTTAAAAAAATGACTCTTGTCTTAGAAGAGGCCTGCCTAGACTGAGTGAAAACATTTCTTCCCTGCATCAACTCCGCATGCATCAACAAGGTACAGAAGGATCAAACTTAGCCCACAGTTCAACTTTTATTTGATAACGCTTGGTCTAATCTTTCATTCTTCATTTTTCTTGAGGTTTATCTTGATTGAAAATGAATATTCCTAATATTCTTAGGAAGATTTACTACTTTTTTCTTTGATGTGTACTATTTTAACTAACTTCGGGTTTATCCATTTTTTCAAGTTTTGGTGGAATTCTCCACAAAAGTCTCTCTGGGCTTGGTTCTTTTCTGTTGGGAAGCTCAATGGTTACTTTTTATTTCTTCTATGACTACTCATTGGTTTAACTTTCTATCTCATCTACAGTCAGTTTTGCTAATCTATATGTTCCTTGAAAAATCACAGATTTTATCCAGGTTCTTATATTTCTTTGCACATATGTGAGCCAAATGGTTACTAATGATTCTTTGAAGTGCCCAGATAGAAAATTAGATATTTCAATAACCCTCTCTCTATTTTTAGAAGCTCTGGTGGCATAGTGCCTATGGCACTTGACTGCTAACCAGAAGGCTGGTGGTTCAAATCCACCAGCCACTCCTTGGAAGGAAGGCTGGGCAATCTACTTCCATAGTGATACTGCCTCCAAAACCCAAGGAGGGGTTGCCATGAGTTGGGTCCAACTCTACGGCAGCGAGTTTAGTTTTTGGTTTTGTCTTTCTTTTTTTAAGAATAAATTATCAGTATTAAGACAAAAGTAAGAATAATATCAGCATTGAGACAAAAGTAAGAATAATATTAGTTAAAAAGGAAAAAACAACAATGGCAACATTATAGAATAGCACTTTTTTAGTATAACTTCATGAAATGGTTGGGGATCAGTAAGGAATCAATCTCCAAATCTTGTATAATTGTCTCAATCAGTAAATATAGCAGATATAAGGTTCTTTTGGTTTAAGTTTCCATTAAAAAACAATAACAACAAAAAATTTTATAACATAAGATAGTTCAAGATCCACTATCAAAACTAATGTAGTAAGTATATTGTAGCTTAAAAGTAGACTTGTTAGCCTTCACAGTCACGAAATGTAGGGCTTTTAGATAATGCTTAGCATATAAAGCACAGTATTTTTGAGCTAGTGTAGGTTTTAGAGATTACTAACTCAACGTTCCCATTTGCACAATAAAAGTAGCTAAAGAAGTTCAGTGACTAATAAGGCATTTTGGTTAGTTAAAAATACAGGATAAGAGCCATGTCAACCATGTTCCAGTTTGTGCCGGCACATTGTACACCACATTTAACTATGATAAATATTTAAATTTGATCATATATGATATTTGTAAGAGTAACTCTGATGGCACAGTGGTTAATTACTTAGCTCCTAAACAAAATGTTAGTGGTTCAAACCTCCAGCCGCTCCACGGGAAAAAGATGTGGCAGTCTGTTTCTGCAAAGATGAAAGCTTTGAGAAACCTTATATTTTGTCTTATAAGGATGTAGTGAGTCAGAATCAACTTAACGGCAATCGGTTTGTTTAGGTTTGGTTTTAATATTTATGAAGAGGTAGGAAAAATCTTGTTTTTTCTCCTGGAAGATTGCAAAACATAGGAGAGGTAGATGACCATCTGTGTGATACAGTAGAGACACCTGCCTAAAGAGGATGAACTAGGTAATGTCCTGATGTCCTAGTATTTCCATTGTCATCTCTCCAATTTAAACAAAATAATAATAATAATAATAAAACTGTATCTATAGATAAAACTGATATTTATTCTTTAAGTAACCCAGGTCTTTGTTTTTAAGTTGTCAGGCCTGCTTTAGTGGGCTTTTTGAAAGAGGAATTGCACATGCGTAAAGAGCACTGTGAAAGTTAATTTCTCTGGCCTTTTAATTACCCTCTCCTCCAAATACCCAAAATATCCAAAGCAATTAAGTGCTAATTACACAATTTCTTCTTTTAAAATAAAGGGCCGATTTTGAGTCAGAGAACAAAACACATCTGAAACCAGTTAACATACACTTAAGAATTACAGGAGAGGAGG